TCAAACCTAGAATCGATTATTTCTGGAAGTAATGAGTCCATATAAAATCGAGTAACAATGCACAGAAACGTCTGTAGCTAAACGTTAGATGTGGCTCCTGCGAGTAGTCAGTACTAAGTATCGACTCAACCCATAGATAACTGCGGCATAACCATACAGTATGTGTAAAAACTCATAACAATAAATATATCAAATTATAAATATAGGTAACACAATTTATTTAAATTCACAATAAGACTATATAGAGATCTATATAGGTAATATCGGTTCGCACGCGCATGCACAAGTCATTGCATTTGATGAAATAAAATATTTTGTTCCAACGAAGAAATTTTTCAAACTAATCAAGCCTGTCAAAAAAACGTCAACTCCAAATGATCGGATTTCAATTCTGTAAAAAGATTTGAGTTGATCTTTTTTCTAGGTTATTGTGGAAGTCGATTTTAGAATCATGTTTAACATTTTTAAAAAAGACACTAAAATAAATCTAAAAATTAAAAAAAAATTGAGAAACTCAAATAAGATATAAAGATAATTTTTAAACAAATATCAAAAATCGATTCCCACATTAACCTAGAAAAAAAGTTGATTTACTCAAATCTTTATACAGAATTTAATTATGATAATTTTAAGTATGCGTAATCTTATCAGGCTTTTAGGTCCACAACGTGAAATAAATACGCTGCTTCCAACAGCCTTAACTTTTATTTTTACAAGATACGTTATCAATTAATGCTTATCATTCAACAAATAATAATTTTTTCGTTGAAATCTATTTTTTCATATTCATCCAGTCTTTTTATTCATATTTTATATAATATTTTTATAATTTGTGTTTATTATAATCAAAAATATATTTTTAATTATGTTAACTCTTTAATATATAATAATTAGTTTTTAGGTATCTCTTTTGTAAAAGCTGGAAAAGGTAATTTATACAGTAAGTAATTATACCACAGTTTTTGTATACAGTACACTGTAATTATACAGTATAGTATATAGTAGTGTTATTTTTGATTGTCATTAATGAGCTTGAAGTATTTTATAATTAACTTTGTGATGAATTCATATTTTATCATTACTATTTTTCTTTTCCAACGCTTTTGAAAATGTTGAAAAGTATTTTATTGTTTTACTTGTATGAAGTAATATATTATTTTAGTGCAAATAATAATAAAATTTATAAGCTTCACTAGTATAATTTAATTAAAATCTTTAATTGTCGACACTTAATTCTCATGCATATATTTATAACTATGGAATCATATTTTTTAGCTTCTTTAGTAATATTAGTAAATCCTTCGTTATTGGAAATTAATGTAACTACTATACTAACTACTCAAAATGAAACTGCCAGTTTAAATAATTAGATTTATCCACCCACACCTTCAATTTGCCACCTATTCAAAGACCAAAACATTCTTTAATAATTAAAGATGTTATATAATATTTAATTTTTAAATAGAAAATATGTGTCAAGTAATATATAAAAAAAATTAATCAAAATTCTATTATTTTTTTTACATTCAAAATTTCCAGGCAGTTCAATTGAACTACCTGAAGTATGTGTTTGATGCAACTGTTTATTATTATATTTAACTTATTATTTTTGTAAATATTGTAAAATTGTAGATAGTCTTTAGTTTTTTTCAGTTAGTATACATGTTCATATTTGTACTGCACAAGTTGAATGTATAATATTTTCTAAATTTATTTTACAGGTTGATGGCAGTAAAAATAATATGAACAGATTTTATGGACAATAAAAAGATGAATTTAAATAGCTTTACCTCAAGTTCTTCTGAACATTTAAAAAATTGTTCAAGTCCTAATGAAAAAAATCGTCTTAAGGTGTCATCTGTTGTCAGCTTATCAAATGATACTTCTAAAACTAAAAATTTTCCTGATAATAGTCAAATAAACAAGGAAGATTGTAAATTTATAATAAATATATTAAAGTCAAATGATGTTGATTTAAATAGTCAAAATGAACAAATGCTATTAAACATAGTGAAAAAATATGAGAAGGATATTTTACCATCAAATAATGAAAATATGGAATTAAATACACAAACATTTATGGATCTTCTCTTGCACAAAGCTACTATAGATCTGCAAAACCATCAAGATGTTTCTAAAAATCAAACTATTGAAAATATGGATTCAAATTCAAATAATATTATTATAGTTACACCTCCATCTAAATCTAACGAATTAAATTTAAAAGAAAGTGATGAAGATTTTATTACTGTTAAAAACAAACAAGATGTTTCTAAAAATCAAACTATTGAAAATATGGATTCAAATTCAAATGATATTATTATAGTTACACCATCATCTAAATCTAACAATTTAAATTTAAAAGAAAGTGATGAAGATTTTATTACTGTTAAAAACAAACAAGATGTTTCTAAAAATCAAACTATTGAACATATGGATTCAGATTCAGATGATATTATAGTTACACCGCCATCTAAATCTAAAGAATTAAATTTAAAAGAAAGTGATGAAGATATTATTACTGTTAATAATGATCAAGATCAAGATCCAGATTTAATTACTTTTAAAACTATGTGTGATACATTATTAAAAATTACAGCAGTTGGTAATGTGATACCTAGCAGTAGTTCAATTACTGAGAAAAGTAATCAAGAAAACTCCATGATTTTCAAACAAAAGAATGCAGATGTATTAATTTGTGAAAATAATATGGATTGTGTACCAAGCACGAGTAAATTAAATTCAAATATTTGTTATAAACCTGATATTGAAAGTTCAAAAAATGTGTCATGTAAAAAACGTCAATTTAAAAATTTGTTGTTAGATTCATCTGAGGAAAGTTCACTTGAATATTTAAATGAATTATCTCAAAAACAATACAGTTGTCCAAATAAAAAATATAAATTTAAATCTTCAGCAAATACTTTAAAAAGTAATACTGAACACCATTCAGATAATATTGTAATTTCAAAACAAGTTAATGATTCCAAAAAAATAAATACATTTGTAAGAAATGAAGAGAATGGATTTTTTTATTGTGCACCTGATGGAAAAATTCATCAAGACATGTTGGCTTTTATTAGTAAACAGAAATATGGTTGCTAAAAAATAGTAATGATAAATAATATTTCATTTTTTGATTATGATTAAGATTATTGATTATTGATTATAATGTATAGTTAAAAAATAAAAATAGTTAAAACAGTAAAATGGTAAGAGTTAATATCTATTTTTATTTGTATATGTATATTTATGCAATTAGTAGGAGATGAATTTGAATGACGTAAACTTCACAAATTAACTATTTTAGTTTATTGAATTGTATTTATTATAAATTATTCCAATCAGTGTTAAACAACTAGTTGTGTGACAACTAGATTGAATCATTTCAACATCATTCAATGTATCATACATTTTGGTGCTCGGTAGTAGTTATCAACTACGGAATGTGAAATATACATATAGCGGTCATTAATGGATTTTTTTTTATCAATTTCTATCTATCTATCTATCTATCTATCTATCTATCACTTTTTTATTAATATTTAGCCATATTACAAATTTTTATATTTAGTTTATAACTATTGGCACCGAGAGCGCTATTGGTGTGCCTCATCACTGAACTATGTTGAACAGTTGATATGTACCATTCTGGAAACCAATTTTTATTGGGTGTTGAGTAACCTGAATATCTTAAATCGTGATTAGTGTTAACTAGATGTGGTTGTGAACAGGAATTAGAATACAGAGTTCAGTCACGCGGGTAAATAATATATTAAAGCTCATGTATTTTTTTTTTTTTTTTTAGTTCAAAGCCCATGTATATCCGTATATTTATTTATTATTACTCTTGTTTATTACATTTAAATCAGAATTCTTATATACTTTAAATATAATTATTTATAATAATATAATGTGTATATTCCAATAATTAATAATTTGTTATTAATTAATAGTACAAATTGTATAGCTCTTGATTACTTTCATACATTTTATTATTTAAAGATGTTATGAATAGTTATTTATTGTGCTTAAAAATTAGTAAGATGTATTTGCTTATCGTATAATTTTATGTAGGTATAAACTATAAGTATAATTATATACAAAAGAGTAATATTTTAATTGGTTATAAGATTAAAACATAAAAAATTACAAAACTATCCTATTGCAAATTTCATTGCATTGCGTTTATTTATGTCTTGGATCGAAACATTTTTGGTGATTTTAAAATTGTTCTTTAATTAATTTATTTTTATTTTTTCTTATTTAAGTAAAGGCTTCACAATTTTGTGGTTATTAGCCTTCAATTAGAGGAAGGTTTAGAAAAACCAGAATGAAATATTTACAGATATTAACAATTTATTTACAATTTATTTTTGTATGTAGTGGAAAGGGCTTTGTAAAGGGCTTCAGTATTTTCTTTGCTAAGAGCAATTTAGATGTACAGTGATATTATTATCAATCGTTAACCGAGGACTCGGTTATCTACCGTAGTAGATAACCGAGCCGAGGTAAACATATAAATTGCCATTGATAAGTCATATCAGTATAATTTGTTATTGACGTTTTTGTGTCTTGATAGTTGTAACTAAAAAAAATTATTTGTTAATATATATTGTTAAATTTTAAATTAATACTTATCGTATTAAAAAAAAATTACCATGAATTTCTTATTTCTCAATGTAATTCGATCTATGTAATTAATTTAATATACCTAAATTATTCTAAAAATCAAAGTGTATGTATTTTTTTATTATTGAAATGGATCAAAAATACATTAAATTAGATGACAGTGTTTTAAACCAAATTCTCAAAACTGAAACTGACCTACGTGACTATTCTCAGCAAGTAGAATCTGCTTTGAAAAACCATGAAAACCTTGCTATTGATAAATACATTAAATCAGGGGAACATATTGTGACCTTGCATAAACATTTAAATGATTGTGAAAATGTGTTAGAGCATACAGAGTCTGTGTTATTTACATTTCAAGAAGAGTTACAAAATATTACAAATGAAATCACTAGGCTGCAACAGAGATCAATATTTATGGCTCAACAACTCTGTAATCGACAATCAGTCAAAGGACTTATGCATCAATTTATTGAAGATGTTATTGTATCGGAAACACTCATATCAGTCATAACCACTTGTTCTGTGACTGATGAAAAGTTTTCAACACATTTGTCAGTATTGAATTACAAAATATTGTTTGTTGATGAACAAAATTTCAAAGATATTAAATCGCAAAATGATGTGAAAGATGTGATCGAAAAACTGAAAATTACTGCTATAACAAAAATTAGACATTTCATAATGGATCAGATTAATAAATTTAAAAAACCTACTACCAACTATCATATACCTCAGAATACTTTATTTGAATATAAATTTTTGTTTGAATTCTTGCTTAACCATGATTCAATATCTGTACAAGAGATATATAATGACTATGTTGATGCTATGAGTAAAGTGTATTTCACTTATTTTAAATCCTACTTGAGTTATTTGCAGAAGTTTCAATTTGAAGAAGCAGCTACTAAAGATGATCTTTTAGCAGTTGAAGATCCAACTTCACGTTCATTATTTCAAAAATCAATAAAAAAAAATACTGTTTTTACTATTGGAAATAGAGCTGCTGTTCTTAATGAAATTGATAGCTCAATTATTATACCTCATCAAAATAATTTAACGAATTTATCATTTGAAACATTATTTAGATCAGTTCAGTATGCTCTTGTAGATAATGCTTGTCGTGAATATAAATTTGATTGTGAGTTTTTCAAAGTAGATCAGCCTACTGCTCAAGGACTTTTCTCTCAAATTATGGGAAAAACTTTAGGACTTTTGATTAAGCATTTGGAGAACTATGTGGAAAACTGTTATGATGCATTAGCACTTTTTCTATGTGGACAGTTAAGTATGCGTTACCAAGTCCTTTGTCAACATCGTTTAGTTCCTGTACTTGCACAATATTGGGATACTATGCTTGCAATGATTGGAACTAGATTTCGATTTATACTTAAAAGACATATTCAAAGTGTAAAAGATTACGATGTATCAAAATTTAATAAAGAAAAAAAGCCTCATTTTATTATGAGAAGATATGCTGAGCTTGTTTCAGCCATAGTTTCATACAGTGAAAACAATAAATATGAACCTGAATTAATTTGTAGCCTAACTGAAGAAGTTTTAGGATTGGTTTTACGTCTTGCTACCATGTTTAGCACTCGTAAGGATCGTTTGATATTTTTGGTTAATAATTATGATTTGGTGTTAAGGATATTGATGGAACGTGTAAGAGATAACACATTTGAAGTGGATAGATTCAAAGAAGAGCTATCTGCTAGAAGTAAAGATTATGTTGATGAAGTACTTCATGTTTATTTTGGCGGAATGATGGAGTTTGTTACAGATGCTGAAAATGGTCGAGATACAGATGCAGAATCAAGACAATTAGGGTTAGCCAAGACTTTTACATCTACTTGGAAAATGTCTCTGGAAGAGATTAATAAAGAGATATTGCCTTCATTTCCTAATCTGACTACGGGTGCTTCTTTATTACAATTAGCATTTTCGCAGCTAATTGATTATTACCATAGATTTCAAAAAGTTCTATTAGCTTCAAATAAAGCTCAACTACCAAATATTCATGTGATAATGATAGAAATTAAGAAATATAAAACTAATTATTAAAATGTATTCCTCCTATAATATTATAATTATATATTATACAAAAATGAATGGTAATATAATTTTTTTTGTACAATTTGTACCTTTTTGCAATTGCCATTTTTTTTTTTTTTTTATTGTTGTTTAAAATAGAAAATTCTACTTGTTATTATGATTTTTTAATAAAATAAGTAAAATTTAAGTCTATAAATTTATTAAAATTTATCAAAATTTAATTTATATTTGTTTATTTTTTGTATATATATGTATGTATGTTATTATTGTTTATTTGATAATTGCTATAAATATTTTATGTATGTGGTGGTTTACTTTTGATACACATTTTATTGGTTAAATAAATTTGTGTATTATGAACTATTTAAAATACAATATGTTAATAATTTATGTAATACCTAAATTTAGTATGTTCAGGCATTTTGAGTTTAATGGTTAAAACCAAATATCCTTTTATCCTACTTCAGTTCATTTTTTAACTAGTTAGCTAGACGACACAAATGTCGCCCAGTGATTATACTCTGTCGACAGTATTTTAAAAGATTGAGTGAAATAATGCGAAACAAATGTGTAATACTATAATTGTACTATGGTATTATACAGTAAGTATTTTTAAAAAAACATTTTTTGTCGCCCAGTGAAAATTCCTTATAAAATGCACTGTCCTACTTTAAAAATGTATAAAAGATCATTATTAAATCTAGTGAACTCTTTTAAGATTTTATAGTTTTGATTCAGACTATCAATTTGGTATGAAGTTTGAACCATATTAGAATCAATTGAACCTCATTATATGATGTAGTAAATCAAGAATAATGTAAATATTTAGCAATCAACTTCGCGGTTTTAACTCTAGAGGTACCATATTATTATTTCTAATTTAATTTTGATATTTTTGTACGATGATTCTTGCCTCTTAATCTCAATACTAGAGCATTGATTTGGTATTATGTTTAATGCTAGAGAAGCTGAATATAAAATCAGATACATATTTTGGAAAACCGGTAGTTACAGCCTTAGGGTATAGGTATCCAAGACAGGCCCGGTGGAAGGCATAGACAATACAGGCCTAAGCCTGGGGTGGCATTTCCTGACTCAACACGTTAATATTAATGTTATCTGTAAATTATTTAAAAAGTAAAAATTTTGGATTCATTATTATATCGCTTTTAAAATGTTTGTAAAGAAAATGTATTATTTTAAGGTACTAAAATTGTAATAAAAATGTGGACTGTTTAAATATGATAAAAAATAAAATTCTAATCATTTAGTAATATTTATTAGTAATTAATTAATAGCTTACAGGTGAATAAAAACATTTTTTTTTTTTTTTTTGAGATCAAAAATGAAGGGGCAGCAAATTTTGATTATGCCTGTGCATATATTTTATCTAGAGCCGATTAACCGGCACTGCCCGTAAACCATAGACTAATATCATTTTATGCCATACAATAATGTTTATAAAATATAGATAAACGTTGTCCACAGACGTTGAAGATATTCCAACATGTATTCAACCGACTATAACATAAAGAATAAATATCAAATAGTTAAATAATAGGCATAGATAAGTATATAATATCTCAATTCTAGTGTCCGATTTTAACGATAAAAGTTACCACACTGGTAACAATAAAGACCATATTTCGAAAAACAGATAATAATTGGTTATTGATAACAAAATATTAATTTTTATTTATAACTAACTTTACATTGGTTTACTTACTAATTTAATTGGATAATAATTCATTGTTTTTTGTTCGTGCATATTTATGAAATATAATCTTTAGTAAGTACCTAATAATTCTGAGAGGTACACATATTGTGTCAGAAAAATATGATAATAAACTATCTGTATTAACCTTTTGAATCTAATGTTTATTCATCTTATCTGTTTTAATGATGATTATACAAACTAAAACGTAAAATTGTTTAGGTGTAAAAGATGACCAGACATGCTAGGAACTGTACTGCGGGTGCTGTTTATACATATCATGAGAAACAAAAAGATGCTTCACAGTCTGGCTATGGTACACAAAATGAGCGTGTCGGTAAAGATTCCATCAAGAGCTTTGACTGTTGTTCATTGACACTGCAACCTTGTAGAACTCCTGTTGTATCGTGAGTGTAAATAGCTAATAAAAAACTATACCTATCTAATATGTGATCTATTGAGGATCATTTATAGATTATTATTTCTTATAACCTTCGTAACATAGTTATATAGAAATAAAGCTTATTTTATAAATCATATAAATATAATTCTTTTTACTGCTAGATTCAAAAATTATCAGATATAATTACTCATATTCATTCTTGAATAGCACCTGGAATTCTTTTAGATTTATTTTTTAATATCCTTTGTAGGAATCCTCATAAAAATATTTGCTAAAATTATTCATGAAGTATAATAAATATGCCAATTTCCATGATAATTCTATTTACACATTGTCTTGATTTATACTTTCAAAGATATCTTTAGTGTTTTTGTTAGAGAAATTTCATAAGTGATATAATATTTCAAGAATATTTACATGATAAATAATCAATTTTTTTTTTTAAATTAATTGGTTATAAAAAATATTGGTAGATCATATTTTAGAAAGATTTAAAATCATAAATTAATTGAGTAACAATTTTAGCATGAAATTAATTATGTGTTTCATTTAGTCCTGAAGGTCATTTATTTGATAAAGAAGCTTTATTGCAGTACATGATAACAAAAAAAACTGAGTACTGTCGGAAATTGAAAGAGTACGAAAAGCAAAAGCACAAGGAAGAAGAAGAATTAGCTGAATTAGGTAGAGCTGAACAGCAGTCTAAAGTCAATGATTTTCTTAAGAGAGAGAATATGGTAAAGAAACAAAATGACATTTATAAAATGAAATCTCAAAAAAGATCAGAAAAAAATGTTTCATCCATTTCAAATATGGCCAATGGTTTGGATAAGCAGCTCCCAAGCTTTTGGGTTCCATCAGAAACTCCAGATGCTAAAAAAGCACCAATGCAAAAACCAGTAAGAAATGTTATGCTTTCATAATAAATTATTAAATGCTATTTTATGAAATAATGTGAAAACTATAATAATTTACAGTTTGTAGCATAAAAAAGTCTATTGAGTTCTGATAGATTTGACAACAAAATAATAATAATAATAATAATAATTTTTTCAATTTATCTCTGTATTAAAAATATCCTATGTAATTTAAATACATATTTATTACCTATTTCATTTTGATGAAATAATAAAAATAAAACAATATTTTGCAGTATATAGAAAAATTAAAAAACTAAGAGTGGTATAATTGGATTTTTACAAAAATATTTGTTATTATTATGAAATACCTACACTGAACATTTTTTTGTTATGAATCAACATTATTAAATATATTAGTCATTTTAATATAATTATTAATTTTTATTTGTTTTATTATGCTTTTAAGGATAAGACAATCTATTGTCCAATGAGTGGTAAACCATTGAAATTAAAAAATTTTGTGGAAGTTAAATGGACTCTAGTAAATGATCCAAGTGATAAAAAGTCTTTAGCAGTTCGTGAAAATCGTTACATGTGTGCAGTGACACATGACATTTTAAGTAATGCTGTACCTGCTGTAGTTATTCGCACAACGTATGGATTAGTTATTAGTTGTTCATTGACTATAAAATTAAATCACTTTAACAAACATAAAATATTCTTTGTTATTAGTGGTCATGTAATAACCATGGAATGTTTTGAGAAGTTAATCAAAAAAGATTGGCTGCATCCTTTAAATGGCCAAAAATTAACAGAAAAAGATATAATACCATTACAAAGAGTATGAATAATTTGTTGTAAATTTATTTTATTTATATTTCACTATTTTTTTAAAATTTAATTTAGGGTGGAACGGGATATGCAACGACAAATGTGAATTTGCAAGGAAAAAACGCAAGACCAGTTTTACAAGCTTAAAAGTTATATGAATATGATCTCCAACAATCTTTTTTATATAATTTTAATTTAAATGATAAATTTTATCACTGGAACACAAAACATAATGAATACCATAATAATTACATAATACCATAATACATTATAATAACTTTATATTTATGTATGAATTAAGTATAAAGTTTGGTTATATTATTTCATGTTTTAATGTATTGTATTAGGTTATATGGTTATATATACTATAATAAGGTTTTACATAATTTACATAAATTGTGTAGTTTATTTTTCTGAATACTATAGTATTATGTATTACATAATTTACATATATCCTCAAATGTTATGTATTTATGGACTAACAATATTAATATTAATACAAAATGTGTATATCATTGCTGACATTCATATTCATCTCGGTCACTAGCATGCTGTTCAGTCCTATTAGAATGTTCAGTAGTTCATAATATATGTTTAAAGCAAGATAAAATGTGTTAGTTCTAAAAAACCATAACCATTGCTAAACTACTGCAAACTTCATGAGACTTGATTTATTATTTTTAAAGTTGTATAAAAACGTAAATTATAATTTTATAAATTTATAGTAAATTATACATGCAACTGTATTTTTAAAATGTTGAATATATATTTTTGAAATAGTTTATTTGGTAATCCAGTTTATATATTTCTTATCAAATTTCAAAGGTAAATGTTTTTGATTTGATTTGTGAGGTCTTGATCTAAGATTGACACATTCCTTTTAGAATATAAAAGGAATGCCTGAAATCATAAAATAAATATTTAAAATTGAAATTGTTTGTTTGAAATCTTTGTTCATAAATCAAGGGCATGCCCAAGGGAAGGGATTTGGGTCTAGACGTCCCCCATTGTAATTTATATATATATATATATATATATATATAATATAAAATATAATATAATATTTATAAAATCAACTAATGTACTGCATTTATACATTCAGCGTATTTGTATATAAACATATTTTTATACAATTATTAGTAGTTAACTAATAATAATAGTTTAAGAAATTATGTTTTCTCCATCAAAATGCTAAACAGTTATGTATATTATATAATAATATATTAGCACAAAAGTGTTCTTTGATTCCAATTTTATGGCTTGATTTGGCTTAGAACCATAATACAAGGACCTACATATGGTTATAATTAAATCGACTTATCAATAACACCTAACAAAAAATTAATAATTTATAATTATGTCAATGTGACATTGTAAATTTTTGTTAGCATTATTTCTTTTTAAAAATTATAGCTGTTATTGACTGATTATTTTCGAAGTTTCGCACTTATGAATGACATATTATTGTATTTAGTATGTATTGTTTATAATATTTAAAAATATAATAACTACATCGCCGTCTCAATAGAAAATTTGTCGAAATATTTATTGTTTCTTCGAGGAATCAATGTTTTGAATTTTAACATATCATTTGATTTAAATACATTTTCATAAACTATACATGTACACAAAACCCAAATACATACAAATTGTATTTGGATATAGATTTCGTGAGTTTTGTCTAGATATTTCTGTGATAGAATTCAAAAAAAAATCCATTATCAACTTATTTTATCTTTCGATCAAATGCAAACAAAAGCTGAAATTATAATGTTAGATAGGCAGCTGGCTACGCTACAAGTAGCGTTCACTTGTATAGAATTAATTTGAATTTTGAATACATTGATCAATTTTCTAAACATCGATTGGCTCGATTCATATTTTAAACTTATTCATTCTCTGTTTTGATATTTTTATGATAATATTTTGAGAATACCGCCCATGACCATTTTATTCAAATTTTTTAAAAGTATTATGTTTAAGTACGAATAAAACATGTAGGCGTTACCTACACATGTTTAATGAGTAATTTTTTATACATTGAATACTGCTCGAACATATTTGATCACTAAACAACGTTATTTAGAATTTAAATTCTACATTTCTAGAAGGATACTAAAAATGTTTTGTAAACCTTATTTATATAGTGTGATTTTTTTTCAACAAGAAACTCATTATTTTGTGTTAAATATTATTAGGTATAAAACGCTTTTTCAAAAAATTATATTTTTTCTAATTGTATCAAAGTAATTGTGAATATGTACTCTTAGTTTTTTAAGTGTGAATACGGTTAACATGTTTTTAATTTTATATTACGTGACAGAACAATTTTAATCTATAAACATCTAATGTTGAATTAATAATTAATTATTATTAAAAGTTTAAATATTCCAGAAAATACATATTCTGTGTAGAAAACATTAAAAATATATTTTTTGTTAACAATAATAATATTAAATATTATACGAGTTTTTTTATCATTATTGAGAAAGAATAAACGTTAAAAATAAATATATTTATTTTTATTATGATTGTGAAAATAAAGAAATTAAAAATAAGTTCTATGTTCGAAGAAAAGTAACCATAGGAGAGGAGAAAAATAAATATTATGGCTCAATGGATTAGTATTGTAAAGGAAGAATAAATGAAGAAAGAAAATTGCTGTTGAAACGTAGACGGGATTGCAGATTATGTTAAAGGTATGCTGATTAAAGACACCAAATATTTTTATAGTAGGTTACCTATAACGGTAACAATCGACAATAGGTAAGGCTTTTTTTTTACAGAAATCGCTATGGCAACGCTATTATGGTCGTGCCACTGGTAAAGAATCCCCACTTTTCTTGCTTCTAGAAGTGCTTCTATATTTTGATATTTATAGTAACATAATCTCATTACTTTAAATGTCAATTTCAATTAAATTTAGAATCAAAATGAAAGCCGTAGAAATAGTTTGTGTATCATATATATATATATGTCTTATCGGAGTATTGAATCAATTTTGCAAACTCTTTTGATAACTTGGACCTTAATGAATTTGGTTTGTTTGATACATAGACCAAGAATTTATATTTAGATCATTATTAATATGAGATATTACATTTTAACTTCTAGGGTTAATATAGTTGAGATTGAAGCAGGGGCAGTGCTACAATAACCGGGTGTGCTGCGTGAGTCCAACACGCGGGCCCATAGCCCTAGCTTATAACAGGATAATAGGGCTCAATGATAATGTTTGAAAAATATGTAGAAGGCAAGAAAATAAAACCATTTTGTAATAATAATCATTACTGGAGATTTAAGGGGGATTCTAATTCATATATCATTCTCAGCATTCCATATATTCCAATATAATTACTAAGTAATAAATTATAACTAGATGTAGATATTTTAAAATGTTGTTAGTGAACTATGTCATCCACAAACTATTCATGTGCCATAAACATTTTTATACTTGTAAATTATTTACTTATTGTTTTAAATAACAGATTGTAAATATATTTTAATAAAATTAAAAAATTAAAAATCTACTGTATAAGTATATATTAGGTACTATATAATTTATAATTTATACTTAAAATTAGTTTTGTTTTTAGAGCACTGTTTAACACCTTATGACGTCAGCTAAATCGAAAAGTAAATTTTTCAACTGTTTTATTGTATATGATTATTTTTAACAAAAAGTTGAGTGTTGCTGCAAACTTTCCGAAGTAACGTTAAAGGGGAGACGCTTTATAAGCGCTGTGAGATGTAAGAGGACTGAGTCGCCTTGCGTTCCCCCACTTTAAGCCGTGGTACTTCTTTTTTTCCGTTTAATTAACGACTGGGTGGTACTTACTTGCGCAATGCTTTCGCCCGGCCGCCATCGTTTATTGTTTTTTTCTTCATTTTAACAGCAAGTCCAAGTACTTGGGTGCAAAACAAGTAATATTTTTAGCTATATGATATAAAAGAACGGTGAAAGACTTGAAGGTGCTTCACATTTAGATATAGTTATAAAAGCTGATTGCTTAGTAATTTGAGCTTTACTTAAGACTTTAATTAGATTAATTCTAATAATAATAAATCTTCAATAAAGGAAAAAAATAATTGTAGGCGTTTTTTCAATTTTTTCATTTGATTTTCACGAAGTTCAACACAATTGTGTAATGCGTTAATTATTAATTTTTAAAATTGGATTTATTGAAGTAAATTTTTTTCTTCTTAAAACTATGTTTATTATTCGATACCCTACCTACTAGAGATAATAATACATTATTAATACTCTCCAATTTCATCCGTATTCGATATTATGTTTGTTTCTATGAATATTGTCAACGCGCCACTCAGGGGCGTATTTAGAAATGTCTTATGAAAACTGTCGTTATTCATAACTAAATAATCAAAATACAACTGTTTGATAGAAACATAATATTTTATTACACAAATTTATAATAAAACATATTTTTAAATATAATTTTTGTAATTACAATAACTAAAGATGTCTAGGGTGTTTATTAGCATATGCATCAACTACTTCAGGTTTTATAATTATTTCAGAGTGTATATTAAGCAATGCTAATCCGTTTAATCGATGGTATCATATTATCATGATATATTGATATTCCAGTATTTCACCGTGTGCCCGTGCGTGAAAAATAAGAGGGCCAACAATAATAAATGAAGTATAAAATATGGTGAATGGGGGGGCCTGCCCCTTAAATGCGCCACTGGCAGTAAGTCAAATAAATAGAATTAACAATTTTTCAATACAGTTATATACATTTAAATGGTGCCGCCATTATTCTGGTTACACGTTCAGCGTATCAGGTGGCTCAAGCTTTAATGAGTGGCGTGATCGACTTGGTGATCTCACCTAATAGGAATTAAAATCTTAGTTTAATTGTCATTTGTTAATATATTCTGATGACTTTTTGTGAAAATTCGTTTTACGAATACTCATAATAATGTTGTAATTTCATTTAATTTCGTCAACAGAGTCGTCGTTGAAATATGATTTAAAGACACCTTACATCCGAAATTCCGAACCTACCTAAACGAACGGCTTTTAGTTTTTGAATTTCGACCAATTAAACTCCGCGAAGCCCGATTATATTGACCAGGATCTATTATTAATTTATTATACACATTGGATTCATTGGAAAATTATACATCGTTGGTACACAAATATTTCACGGCTGCATCGAAAGGGTTAACGTGAACCGAACGCATTTTGCAATTCGTCCTGTATATAACTTATACACAGCTCTTACTATTATTAT